TTCCATGTTTCCGTATCTACTTTCTTACACGTTTTTAGAAAACACAGACCGATGGAAATGGCCATACATAAATTGTCATTGTTATGAACGTGAAAAAGTGATTTTTTCCTTTCTATACTATTTTTAGGACCGAAAAGAGTTGTAATGGGTAATTTTCTAGGGTTACCTCCCCCTTTAGGTAAATCAATGGACCCGATGGTGACTAGCAGGTTCTCATCTACGGGTAAGCTTTCGTTCGAATTGAGTACCTTGGTGATCTCAGACATGACCACATCTGCATTCAATTTTTCCCAGGACTGCAGCGGTACGACGATAGGATTGTTTAAACTCGGATGACTTAGGACCACCCTTCCCAAATCCGCATCGTGACCCTTGGCCTGCGACAACAGGTCGTCGAACATCTCGTGTAATTTGTTTTGGATATCTATTAATTTATCCCCCCTCCACTGTTCATTGAATTTGACCTTGAACGTGGTGTCGCGGGCCAGATTTTTCTTGAAGGTCCTGGTATCTCTCTTCCAGATATAGTAAGGTTTTGCTAATGTGTCCTTAGAATCAGAACTTTCCCCACCGCCCCCAACCTGCCTACTTGTAGAAGGTTGATTGCCATCATTGTGAGAATGACACGTTTTTTTAGGAGGAGACTCCATATCAGAGAGAACCTCCTGCCACAAGTCGTCGATGTGCTTTTCCCATTGGAGTTCTTTTAACCGGTTTTCCACCTCCACATCACCGACCAAACCATTGGCTGCTGCAAAGAACTGTACGGTGTCTGGGTCGTTCAAGGAGTCAGGGATTTCTTTCAATAAACCGCTGTCTGCCATCTCTTAATTACAAAAATATATATATATATAAATTTATATCCATGTTATAGGACAAAAGGTATATTTGGTTTGATTATAAATATTTGTTAAGTGGAATTGAAAAACCAGTTAAACATTATTTTTACAGACAATGTAATGTCACAATTATCAGAATATCCATTTATCGAACTTGAGTACATTAATAAAATAAAGAAAGCGAAATAGAAAGAATATTTTTTATTGACAAAATTCCTGTAACATAAATTCTAAGTATTTCCTAATACTTAACATATTTTCAAAGAAATGACATTAGGTTAAAACAATGTTAAGTTAAAATAAATATACTATCCTAATAAAAAAATTTATAAATAGCATATAACATGCTTAATATAGACCTTGTACAAACTTGTTCTTTAAAAAACTTTTATATCAATAAACCCAATTGATAATCAAAAGAATTTCTAGCTAAACAAATGTTCAAAAATATTTAAAACCCACATTGTTATTAATAGCATTACATCAGGTTTATAACATTAAGGATTGTAATCTATAAATATTGGATATTAAATATTATTATATAGGAATACGTTCTGCAACAATTAACCCTAATGTCATAACTTAAACATCACATCACAATAATAATAAGCAAATGATCAATGTTAGATGTAAATCACAATTATCAGTTTTTTTAAAACAAAAAAGCTTAAACATCATTTAACATCAATTGCACATCACAAAAATTACCAAATAATCACTGTCATATATATGTAAATCATAATAATCAACAAATAAAGGCAGGAGTTAAAATTTTCCTTTCATCAATATTCAAGTAAAAGACAAACTGTCGCATAAAATAAAAATAACAAAAAAAATAAAAAACATTAACAGCAACCATAGGAAAACACAAAAGAAAAACTAACGAGTCAATGTCCTTAACCGATACCATTGCTCTGTACTACATGTACATTCATTAAAAAAGGTAAAATGTCATTATCAAATTTGTTATTAAAAAAAATGTGAAATGTCATTTACAAATCTGCTTTTAAAAAAAAATAGGGAAAATAATGAAAATTAAACAGTCAAAAAGTCCCAAACTTTATGCTTTTTAACATTCAAAAAAATTCTGTCATCAAGAATTCACAACTTTAATCTGTTGTCCCTTAAAAGTTATACAGGTGAATAAAAAATTAAGGATTACACAGTCATAAAATATTTAAATCCCTTCAACACTTGTACAAGTCAAAAGAAAAAAAATTACTTAATACAAAGTCATCAAAATTTCAAATTTTCATAGAATTATTTCAAATCTTCATAGAATTATCCTTTCAAAAGTACAGCACTTACACATTTTCATCAAAATATTAAATCTTTTAACAAAAACCAAGAAAAATCATCCCATCAATAAAAGCACGAGAATTTATAACTGGCTTTCAAACATTAGTTTCTTTTTTGCTGATTTGCTTCTAGTAGTTGGTGGAGAATTATGGACTTGTCCCGGCTGAGGAGCGGGGACTTGTCCCGGCTGAGAAGCGGGGGTTTGTTGTCCCTGCTGTGGAACGGGGGCTTGTTGTCCTGGCTGAGGAGTGGGGGCTTGTTGTCCCGGCTGAGGAACGGGGGCTTGTTGTCCCGGCTGTGGAATAGGGGCTTGTTGTCCCAGCTGAGGAGCAGGGGCTTGTTGTCCCAGCTGTGGAATGGGGGCTTCTTGTCCCGGCTGAGAAGCGGGGAGTTGTTGTCCCAGCTGAGAAGCGGAGGCTTGTTGTCTAGGTTGCTGAGGTGTGTCTGTGTCTGCTGAAGTTGTGTATGATGATGGTGACAGCAAATGCATATCAGAAATGTTAAGTGCTGGGCAGCAGCGATTTATCCAAAACTTGACAAGTTTCCTCAGCCCATAAAATATTATTAGGGCTGTAACTGTTACTGCCCAAATCAAAAATCCTAAATAAAAGAAAATTTAAGTAGATATACATGCATCAACTATCAACAGAGTATTTAAATTCTAGCACAAAGTAATTTATACTTTAGTATATTTATTTTTAAGTGAGTTTTATCTTAATTTTTTCATTTGCCTATTTTGTCTATAATCCTTGTTCCTATTAAAACACATCTTAATTTTTTTTAAACAGATTGAAATAATAAAACAGTTAAATACCAGTTGCCACTTCACTGAGCAATGACTGTGGACCAGCTTCTAAAAAAATCATTAAAAACTACTATAGTAATTTTAACTAAATATTTCAATGTTTTCTATGTAACAATTATTTTCTACGATCGTACTTAACTTTACAAACATTTTTTTTAAATTGCATCTTCGATGGAAAAAAATATATACCTACTAAAGTACAAATCTGTCAATGAAATTGGCTAAAGATGAATGATACCGACATTTTTCAAAAAAGCAGACCTACCTTGAGTTACACTTTTCCTCAGAACTGATCCAATGCGAGCCCTCTCACGTGTTCTTGCTGAAGAAGTTGATGGCCATGTAGAAATCAAGGTGGTTAATATCTTGGACTCTTCAGTAGGCATATCTGTAACAGATTTTTACATAGAGGTGATGACTAAAAATAAATTATAAAAACAAAAGGTTTACTTCCTGTCACATTCGGTGAAATTGGCTAAACATGTATGATACTGATGAAAAATGAGCAGACCTACCTTGAGTTACGCTTTTCCTCGGAACTGATCCAATGCGAGCCCCCTCTCGTGTTCTTGCTGAAGAAGTTGATGGCCATGTAGAAATCAAGGTGGTTAATATATTGGACTCTTCAGTAGGTATATCTGTAACAGATTTTTACATAGATGTGATGACTAAAAATAAATTATAAAAACAAAAGGTTTACTTCCTTTCACATTCGGTGAAATTGGCTAAACATGTATGATACTGATGAAAAATGAGCAGACCTACCTTGAGTTACGCTTTTCCTCGGAACTGATCCAATGCGAGCCCCCTCTCGTGTTCTTGCTGAAGAAGTTGATGGCCATGTAGAAATCAAGGTGGTTAATATATTGGACTCTTCAGTAGGTATATCTGTAACAGATTTTTACATAGAGGTGATGACTAAAAATAAATTATGAAAACAAAAGGTTTACTTCCTTTCACATTCGGTGAAATTGGCTAAACATGTATGATACTGATGAAAAATGAGCAGACCTACCTTGATTTACGCTTTTCCTCGGAACTGATCCAATGCGAGCCCCCTCTCGTGTTCTTGCTGAAGAAGTTGATGGCCATGTAGAAATCAAGGTGGTTAATATCTTGGACTCTTCAGTAGGCATATCTGTAACAGATTTTTACATAGAGGTGATGACTAAAAATAAATTATAAAAACAAAAGGTTTACTTCCTGTCACATTCGGTGAAATTGGCTAAACATGTATGCTACTGATGAAAAATGAGCAGACCTACCTTGAGTTACGCTTGTCCTCGGAACTGATCCAATGCGAGCCCCCTCTCGTGTTCTTGCTGAAGAAGTTGATGGCCATGTAGAAATCAAGGTGGTTAATATATTGGACTCTTCAGTAGGTATATCTGTAACAGATTTTTACATAAAGGTGATGACTAAAAATAAATTATAAAAACAAAAGGTTTACTTCCTGTCACAATCGGCAATCCTCGGCCGATTCCGCAACACTCCGAATCACCCGAGGAGCTCCGAATGTTTCACCTTGCCTGCTTGAACTTCGAACCCGATCTCATGGTAGTCGCATATTTTTTTTTTTACACTTGTATCTTACAAGGAAAAGTTACAAATAAAAACATTATTATATTTCGTTATATTTACTTAAAATACTCAAAACACATCATTTCAAGAACTCCAAGTCAATGCACATTACATAGATTTTTTTACGCCTTTCTATTGGCCCGTTTTAGATCCGCGTGTGTAGTCTTTCCCACGGTTTTTTAAGGGAAAATGGGCTTAGGAATAAAAAAATATGCTTACCTTCACACTTCCTAAACATCCTGTCTCGAATGATCGGATGTTGAATTTGGGACCATCCAATTCTTACAATTTTCACGTTGCAGCTGAAAAGACGGATTTCCCGCATCTTGATTTGCCCTCCTTTAATGATCACGCAATTGGAAAAACGCGCACAATTAAATACGCCAACCTGTCCAGCACATACTTTGCAACGAAAATTGTTACTGTCACTGTCACAGAATACAGGTACATGAAATAACGCCACCCCTAATAGAAGTATCATTACACCTCGATTCTCCATTTTCTCAGACAATTTTGCCGCGAATGCTGCACGGACTTTTGATCATGTGATCCGTTTAGATAGGGTCACTTGATTAGAATCGGTTACCCATATTTGGTAATCTGTATTTATACAGGATACAGACTTGTAAGAAAGTTAGGCAAATAGTGTTGCACGATTTTTTTTTTAATGATGTCTGTATTTTCTAACCCGCATATAACGATTGAATCAGTGTAATTACAGAGGATTCCATTCTTTCACTCCATATTACCACTGTTTTTATATTCAGACATCTATATAGATATGAGTTTTGAAATCTTTCTCTCTCTCTCTCTCTCTCTTAACAAAATCAGAAAGGGGGGGGGTATAAGCCTAACACCTTGATCTGTAAATGTAATAGAAGCAAAAAAAAAAAACCCAAAAAACTCGGATAGAGAAAATTAATTTCATTCATAAATAACATCCTTTATTACAAAGTTGTTGACTGATTTGTCCAAAGGTTTAAGTAAATCACATTGAGCCCTCGTTTACTACATTTAATGTTATATATAAAATGTCAGTTTTGTATATCAGTGTCAGACTTGCGGTAGGTGAACCTCACTGATAAAGTTTAAACAACAATTTAATCGAATGGTTAATTACATAGCAAATGCGAGGTTAACGCTTTATCTTCTTTGAAATGAATAATTTACATCATAACCTGCTAGACTAGTATACTTTAGGATCACGAGTTAAAAATCACTCTTTTTTTTAACATAACTTAAATAGAGAACAAGTCATAATCATAATATGCTGTAACACCCCTGCGCTGATGTTGCAAGATAGATTAATAGCGCTAAGATTAATATCATGACTTAAATCAAAAGGACACATTGAATAAAGAATACAAAGAACTAGATACTGTACATATTCTCTTACATAGTTGAATAAAGATGCTACACTGGATTGAAACGAGGTGACATGAATTCCTTTTTTTCTTACAATACCTGTGTTTACAGGTGTAGAAAAAAAAATAGAGCAACCATGAATTAATTAACACAATTTCACCTCATTAGAGACCCTCCGGGAATGCGCAGATCACTCCTGTCAGGTGTGTCGCGCAGATATGTCACGACACAGCGGTATTTTTAAAAAGGGAATATAATTCAGTTAATGGAGTAGAGCACCTGCGTCATTATCGTGATGTATTTTTTCTTTGACCCCGTCAAATCCTTTAACTCGTACCCACGGAGAAAGCGCGGATTGGGTGGTAAACTGTCCCAACCCACTTAATTTTGTTTGTATTATTTCCTCATTTCCTCACCGAATTTTTCATTCAAGACATATAAATACAACGGAGTTTTGCATTACGTTATCACCTTGAGAAAATGGCTGAAGAATATCTACAGTTTCTGTAAGTAATTTTTTTTCAGTTAATCGTTTCAAAATTAAATAAACCTAGTGAAATAATAACTTATCAAATTGTAAGAGAAATAATTTTGGTATGCTAACTTTTAAAGGAATCTGTTTATAATTTTTCTCTCACTTCATAAAACAAAAAGGGTATAAATTTTAAAGTAATGATAATTTTCCCCTTATCCTAAAGTTGTTTTCTTTTTTTTCAAATTAAAGCAATATTAATGGTTATATAAACTATTTTACTGTAAAAAAAAAAGTCTAAATATGATAAAGTAGTGAAAATTAAAACACAAAATATTGGTCCACATACAATCTAATGTTTTAACATATCATGACCATAATAATAATATTTTATACGCATTGTTATACTAATGATATTTTATACGCATTATACATGTAATATATATATATATATATATGTTATATTTCCACACAATAACTTTCAATTAGATACATTTGTACGAAAATCCATGACAAAGAGAATCATATGAATATGCTTTACAAATTTTTGTTACAATTTTTATAGAGTTACTAGTATAATCTTTGTTTTCATTAAATTTTAAGGTTTGTTTAAACTTTATTAATGAATTTTGCTTAGATAACAAACAAAACTTTCACAATAAAACATTTTAACAACAACAACAAAAATTCAGATTTTATTACTTTATAGAAATTTTTTTAATTCATTCTTTTTCAAGCTTTTTTTTTCTTGGGGGGGGGGGGGGGGGGGTGACATATTTTTATATACTAATTATATAATTAGAATACATAACAGTCATATATGGCTTTTTTTAAAAGTTCAGACTAATTAAAATTAAAGAGTACTTTCTACTTGTTGTATTACTTTATATAAAGATAAGACTTTGTTGTAAATTACGCGATTTAAATCAATCTCGTTTCAAAGATATTCTAAATTTTAAGCAATAACCGATTTATTTCCCGACTCCACATTTAATTAACATACACGGTTTAAAGTAAATTTAACTATGGAAACATGCGGTTATTTAAGTTCCAAATCGGATAAAACTTTAATTTGAAGGTAATTAACATATATAATGTTTATCTATACTCAATCCTGTATTTTATTTTTAGCACAGATATGTCATATTTAGCTATAAGGTGTTTTTTTTTTGGTGATAAAATCATTAAATCACCTATTGGTTGCACACAAAATGTTCTTTATTGACAGTGAAGCAACAAACTCGGCAAATTCCCTTGAGGAATTTGAAGAAATGTGGGTGAAGATGGGTAAAGAATTAGAAATGGAAGGCCTTTCAAAGTGGTGAGTGTAACAGCTTTTGTCAATGTTATCTTTCTTTGGCTTAATTAAATACACCCTTTTCTTTGGTCCTAATACAATGTCAAGAAATCCATTACTTATATATATATATATATATATATATATATATATATATATATATATATATATATATATATATATATATATTAATGTTTAATTTATATCAGAAAATTTTTTTTTAAGGCCTTCCACTCCCACCCCAGAAAGCAAAGAAAATGTTAACAAGCCATCATCATCATCTTTGCAGGAGGTACCAATCCAGAGGTAATGATTTCTAGACTACGACATGTATTAATTTTTTTTTCATTCTCTACTCATATTATTATTGTTTTATATTGCTTCATTAACCTCTGTCAAGACTGAATTGCGATAAACTCGTATATTATACTAATAAAATGAATTTGATCAAAACAATAAAAAAGAGATTAAATTAAAGAATAGTTACATTAATTATACACTATATTTTACATCAAGTAACATAAGTTAATATGTCATTGAATAATGTTTTAATCGATATTTTAATCAAATAACGCTATATTTTTAGTTATTCCCCAGCCATGGACTCAAATTGGCCACCATTACAGGTTGACGAGGAACTCGCAAACTTCCAAAATGTTGAAAATTCTATTTTGACCACGTTCAGGTAACATTATTATTTAATATTCTTTATCTATTAACATGTTTTAATTACAAAAAGGGAAAAATAACTTTAAAAAAATTAAATATCATAACATTTTAAATCTCTCTCTCTCTCTCTCTCTCTCTCTCTCTCTCTCTCTCTCTCTCTCTCTCTCTCTCTCTATATATATATATATATATATAAGCATCATCTCTAATTTTGAAAATCTGTTTATTGTAGAAGAAAATATCCCCAGAAATATCAAACATTAGAAAAAAGGATTAAGGAGCCATCAGTGGTTCAAAACATTGAAGAACAGTTCAAACTCCTGAGAAACTTGGGAGAACAGAATGGCGAATGATGTGAAGCAAATCACAATCATTGTGAATAATTTGGAAGATCAGCTTGCACCGGTGCCACCCAAAAAAGTCAGGTTTACAACTCTGTGATTTATTTCTTGATCAGTGCACATATACATGTACACTATAAATATGTTGTCAACGTGAATTGCTGTGAATAATATACACAACTTGTATTCTCTTATACAGAATGTTTGAGCTCTTTTCATATTGAATTCACATGTTTTCCTTTTAAATGAGTTTTATAGACAGAATGTTTTTTTTGCTCTTTACAATATTGAATTCACATGTATTCCTTTTTAATTAGTTTTAATTATGTATTACTAGTATTGTATATGATACTGAAATCTTATTACATACTAAAATTTACAACAAGTATATTAGTTATCTTTTAAGAACAGTTCGCAAAAAATGCTTTCTTCTAATATCTTTACTTACTATTTGCTGGATCTTCAGATACCATACAAATGATGATTAGATATGGAAAACAATGGTCTTTTATACGAAATCACAAGAAAGCTCTATAATTAGATCGGAATGGTGGTTGTTGATATGGGAACAAAAGTTTAGATGTATTCAATCATTTAAGAAAGCCCTAGCTATAATTAGATCGGATTGGTGGATGTTGATATGGGAACAAAAGTTTAGATGGTCCTGAATTAAACGAATACCAAGACTGTTGCTAAGCAGAGGATGACTTCAGATGTTCTTAAATTAGACCAATTAAGAGACTGTTGCTGAGCGGACTCTCCCTTAAAGAGTCAACCCGTGACGTCAGTGACTGTAGACTCCTTGACTGTAGACTCACTCTTTGCACTAAGGTAACCCAATGACGTCATTGACTGTAGACTCCACCCTTGACTGTGACCTCATATGACCTTTATGGGAAAAACCCATGACGTCATCCTGACTGTAGACTGACTGTTCTCTGTCCCCCTTACTACTATTATTTGTATTACACCTACTGAAAAGCATTCACCTAAAAGATAATTTTCTATTAAGTATAAATTAAGATAGATTAATAACATTTTTTGCAAAAGTCTATCACATCACAGGAGGGCGGAAATGCCTCAAGTGATGACATTTTGTAAAGATTTTAAAACGGTGGTTGCAGAAGGGTAGAATTCTAAAAATTGAAAAAAAGGTGAAAATTTTGTAATATATTAAAATATTACTTAATAGTCAATCGCAACAAATATTGCTTTAAAACAACTTATACAGACATCTATTTTTTGTTTCTTTCATCTGCCTTCATTTGTTTATATTCCTTACCTTCTAATTTTGAATCGTAATACCTCCACCCAGTTTCGTTATCAGTTGTATTCACTGAATCACATGATTTACAAAGATGACACCTCTTTATCTGGGAGTTGTAGCCGAGACAGTGACAGTTCTGACCACACATAGCGAAACATAGCGCGAGAGAGTCCGAACGGTGTACTGACAGAAGAGTGTCGAAAAATACTGTATCATCTAGGTCAGTGTCCTCGAAATAATGAGACTCGAATAGAGCGGCTCTTGTTGTCAACACACAGAACATTAAAAAGATGGCGCATCCCAGCATCGTGAAAACGCTTAAGATTTAAAACAATGGCTGTAATAAATCTTTACTGTATAATAATATAATATCTTTGATATTAGAACGATATCATGCACAGGGTATATATCATTCATAGGCTATACAAATTTTTGTCATATATATCCTAAATCTTTCTTAGTCTTTTTAGCTTCTCTTCTTATGTGTCTTTATAAGTTCACTGAATCCTTCTTTTAAACCTTTTAGAAGTATACCAATGTTATTTGGCCGATTCTTAATGGATTATGATACAAATTAATTATCTAAAAGAAGAAAGCGGCACTTCATACATGATTGCAAAAGCATAAATGGTTCTTAATATTTTGAATTGTGTAAAATGACAGAATATATCGATCTGGTTTTATTGTAGAAAATGTGACAATCTCTTTAACCTCTGAGAATTGAAGCAATATACTCAGTAAAATTTAAAACCCTGGAATTCTATTGAAAATCTTATTTCTATTTTACCTTAAAGGCATAAAGAGATCCATAAAATCATGCTATCAATTTTTGAAATGAAATCTTGAGTATTCTAAGCTGAGTAAAATTCACGGAAAATAGTTTTCGATATTTCGTTGACTGATTACAATATTACATTTTTAAAAAATCCTTTTTCGTGATGTAGAATTTTTAGTGGACTGAAGTAAAAATATCTGTGTTCATGGAGATTTCATTTCGTGGATAAAGAGATGTAGAGTAGTTATACGCAAGTTTATGTACAAGTAAATGACATTTCATATTTCGTGCTGGAAATGCATCCCCTCTTCTTACAGCAGAAACAACGGACGCCTAAAAATTAGTGATTTCACAGTATGTCATGTTTGAACACTTATCATTGATTAAATAATGATGTATACGTACATAAATAATGACAAATAGAGATAGCTAAATATGTTCTGTAATTTTCTATTAAATTAATTCTATAAAGAATAAAGATACTGAGATGGAGTTTTCAATTATACTTGAAATACGGTAGGCTTCAAAGTTCAAACCTCTAGTTTTAAACACCGTATAGTATGACATTGCCATAAACAAGACAAGAGGTTACAAGTGGGCATACCAAGGTTTGAATCCATGGTCTGGTCCGTTGCATTTTTTTTCTCCTCTCCCGTTACATTTGGCATATACAAGCAGTCTTTGATATAAAAGGTTGAATGCAGCCAATATTTCGCAGTTGCTGGTAAAATGCCTTGGTAATGTTTCTAATATGGCAATCTATGTTCAGTAGAGAATCAAAGAAAACACCTTTAAAAAAAAAAAACAAACATGATTTTTAAAAAAAAAATTCCCCCATCAAAAGTGATGCTACATTCATTAAAATAGAAAATTCTGTATTTGCAGTATGGAGTAAAGACAAAAAGCTCTGTTTTTTTCTTGATTTCTCTGAAGAAAGTAAGAGCACATCCAAGAACTTATAACGGATAGGCAAATTTGCAAACGAGATGCTATGTCT